CATCTATCGCCGACTCGTCCGAGCTCGGGGCTGCGACCTGCTGTACTCGTGGTGGCGCGGAGCCGGACGGATGCGTACGGACGGTAGCAGGCTTGTTGGTAGTAATTGTAGTGTAGTACCATAATGGCGGTGGAACTTCAACGTACGCAGAGCAGCGGGGAGGTTCCTTGTGCAAAGGAGTGGTGGTATGTTTCAAATTGCGAGCTTCTCTTCGTTGATTGACAAGTTGTTCAATAGTGTTTAGTTGTGCATACTCGTACAGGGTACCAGGTAGGGGAATGCCGAGGGAGACTAGTCATACCGCGAATGGCGTCGTTATTGCTGATTTCAATAGTCTTCCCCTGAGATGCAGTGAGACGCTCGAATTGAGCTTGGTATATCAATCGAGGTTGAAGGACGCTTTTAACCAGACGTTGGGCTACCTCAGTCCCCGCTCCGCCACATCGTTTAGAGATGCGTCGAATGAGGTGTGTTGTAGACGCCGCCGTCTTGCGTGCCGCTTGAAGCCACTGCTTGGTTGAGCCGGACTGGTGGATTAGGAATCCCGAGGTCTTATTTTGACTAAAAATAGTACATCTCCCTACTTGGATTACAAAAAAAATTAGAACAACGTCTTATTTTGACGAAAACTAGTACGTCTTCCCACTTGGATTACAATTAGCACAGTGTCTTATTTTGACGAAAAATAGTACGTCTTCCTACTCGAATTAAAATTAACACAATGTCTTATTTTGATGAAAAATAGTACATCTCCCTACTTGGATTAAAATTAGTACAATGTCTTTTTGTGACGAAGAATAGTACATCTCCTTACTTGGATTAAAATTAGCACAATGCCTTATTTCAACGAAACATAGTTCATCTACCTACTTGGATTAAAATTAGCACAATTACTTAATTTGACGTAAAAGAGTACATCTTCCTAGGATGAAAATTAGCACCATGTCTTATTTTGGCCAAAAATGGTACATCTTCCTACTTGGATTAAAATTAGCACAATGTCTTATTTTTATGAAAAATAGTACATCTTCCTACTTGGATTAAAATTAGCACAATGTCTTACTTTGACGAAAAATAGTACATCTCCCTACCTGGATTCAAATTAGCACAATGTTTTATTTTGACTAAAAATAGGACATCTCCCTAGTTGGATTAAAATTAGCACAATGTCTTATTTTGACGAAAAATAGTACGTGTTCCTACTCGGATTAAAATTAACACAATGTGTTACTTTGACCAAAAATAGTTCATCTCCCTACTTGGGTTAAAATAAGCACAATGTCTTATTTTGATAAAAAATAGTACATCTCCCTAGTTGCATTAAAATGAGCACAATGTCTTATTTTTATAAAAAATAGTACATCTCCCTACTTGGATTCAAATTAGCACAATGTTTTATTTTGACGAAAAATAGTACATCTTCCTACTTGGATTAAAATTAGCAGCAAGTCTTATTTTGACGAAAGATACTAGCTCTTCCTACTTGGATTAAAATTAGCACAATGTCTTATTTTGACGAAAAAGAGTACATCTCCCTACTTGGATTAAAATTAGCAGCATGTCTTATTTTGACGAAAAATACTAGCTCTTCCTACTTGGATTAAAATTAGCACAATTACTTAATTTGACGAAAAAGACTACATCTTCCTAGGATGAAAATTAGCACCATGTCTTATTTTGACCAAAAATGGTACATCTTCCTACTTGGATTGAAATTAGCACAATGTCTTATTTTGACGAAAAATAGTACGTCTTCCTACTCGGATTAAAATTAAAACAATGTGTTATTTTGATCAAAAATAGTACATCTCCCTACTTGGATTAAAATTAGCACAATGTCTTATTTTGACGGAGAATAATACATCTCCCAACTTGGATTAAAATTAGCACAACGTCTTATTTTAACGAAACACTAGTTCATCTACCTACTTGGATTAAAATTAGCACAATTACTTAATTTGACGAAAAAGAGTACATCTTCCTAGGATGGAAATTAGCACCATGTCTTATTTTGACCAAAAATGGTACATCTCCCTACTTGGATTCAAATTAGCACAATGTTTTATTTTGACGAAAAATAGTACATCTCCCTACTTGGATTAAAATTAGCAGCATGTCTTATTTTGACGAAAAATACTAGCTCTTCCTACTTGGATTAAAATTAGCACAATGTCTTATTTTGACGAAAAATAGTACATGTCCCTATATATCAGAAAAATAGTACATGTCTATATCAGAGAACAATTATTACCCAACCTGACATTCTCGCATACATGAGTTTGCTGGACCACGCTATATTGAGCGAGCTCAGCACAGCTGGCAGCGTCGCGAGCAAGGCCACGATGGGAACGTGATGGTGCTCGAGCCATCCCACCGTGAACCAATATTTCGGTTACCTCACTAACCGCTCATTCACACTGGAAGCGGATCCGCGTTCGCAAAGCGGTTGCGAACGCGGTTGTATAAAGATCCAGTGCAATTGCACGCGCACTCGATGACATCAAGTGCGCGTGCAATTGTACTGAATCTTTATACAACCGCGTTTGCAACCGCTTTGCGAACGCGGATCCGCTTCCAGTGTGAATGAGCGGTAACCGCTCATTCACACTGGAAGCGGATCCGCGTTCGCAAGGCGGTTGCGAACGCGGTTGTATAAAGATCCAGTACAATTGCACCCGCACTCGATGACATAAAGTGCGCTTGCAATTGTACTGGATCTTTAAACAACCGCGTTCGCAACCGCTTTGCGAACGCGGACCCGCTTCCAGTGTGAATGAGCGGTAAAGCTCCTTCATGTTCAGGATAGAGTGGCTATACACCCCACGGGTGCGTGTTGCCATCTGTTGATTGAACTTACGCCTTGTTCAAGATGGCTGCCGTGGGACAGCAGCCTTAAGCACAGTTTATTTAGTGGCTCTAGCTTCCCCTAAATATGTTTCTTCCTAGCCTCCTTTATACTGACAATGCCTGGCAGATCGCCACGAGACGCGGCCGCCGAAAGTGAAAAGAAAGGGCGGCAGACAACATATGAGGAGAGTCTTGTCAAGGGCGCCCCGCTGCGGCGAGACGCCGAAACACACTTTTTCCGAGCGATGGAATGTCCGCTCGCGTTCCTCGCGTTCCTTGCGCTACCGCTTCTTTTCTCGTGGGGTTTGAAAATCATGTTTCGGGTCCTCGTCGCTGCAAAAGCTGTGCGCTGAACAGCAGCTTCCCCCAGAACTGCTCTCTGCTACCAGATACTCGCGCTCCAGACCTTCGACCGGGCACTCTATGGCTCCGCCGTCGAACTGCCAGGCTTTTTGAATATAGAGGAGGTTATGGTCTTTTGCATCAGAATGTTCTCTTTGCGCTCTTACGAGTGCGATATATTGGTGTTTGCCCCTAAATGATTGAGCTCATTACAGGCAAAAGTTCGAGAGGTGCTAAACTAATCGAAACTTTCGACCCAACAAATGCAAGGATATTAATAAAGATCGGAGTTTGTTCCCGTAGGTGTCCTGACCCGAGACGACGTAGCGTTTTACAAAGTTACGAAGAGTTTTACAGATATACGTCGAGATACGACCGCGAGTTCAGACCGATTCATAGCTGTGCTTGACTGGGGTACGGTGGCTTACGACTGCGTTGCCGGGACGTAAGTGTTTCGTATGTCGCGTGCAAGGCCACCATGGTTTATACTAAGCTGCGATGTCCTGGGGGCTGGTGGTCTTAAGTCAAAGTTCACACAACGATAAAGACACTACTAATATTTGTAAATGAACCTTTTTCTATGTTTTGTATGAAGCACGGAGGCACGGCCATAAATTCAATGATTATATAGATGGACACGCGGCATACAAAGCATGGATAAGATATGGGACAGGAATATAGCAAGACGTGAGGTGTATGCATTCTGGCGTAAGAGCCTGACCGTCTTTCCTCGCCACTGTGTGTTAGTGGGTGAGTCACTTTTAAACATTCATTTTTCTTATACTTTACAATGACCTATCGTGAAGCGCGCAGATTCTCGCATTATGGACACAATAAACTATAAAAAGACTACAAGCCATGTTTTTGTTGATATATTCATATTATTAAATATTTTGATATGCCCATAAAAACCTCTTGACCTGGCAGACTCGGCGTTTCATTTCGTGAATGAAAGTGCCATCAACCTTGCAGTATACTGGATGTCCAGCAACGTTTTATTGACACGGCTGCGTTTCTACAACACGATATGATCGCACCGCGGTTCATATGCGACGGTGACGACAGCGAAGTTTATCACGCAGAAAACAAAGCAAAATCATTCGTGAGAGTTGGTTCACAGCTTTTCGCAATCGCGCACTGCATTAATAAGCACAATACCGGGCGTTTGGACGGAATTTACATTTGCACAACAAAACCAAAAACGATTTGGTGCAAATTAAAACCCCTAAAATAAAACACGTTTATTCCTAAACCGAACTGAGTGCTTTGGCATCGAGGTGTCCGGAGAAGGAAAGAACGGAGGTCGCAAAAAAATGACGTATAAATATGTGCCCCTACGTGTATAAGAAGTTTCGCGCAAACAAAAATGTTGGTCTTTATTTGACTGACTTTGATATATCTGAAGATTGCTCGCCCAATTTTTATTATTTTCAAATGGGAATTGAAACGTGTGAACTCTGCTGACCTGCCATCACGCCTTTTGTACATGTAACCATGTATCCGAAATCCAACCCGTAGGTAAGGTTGTGATGTACCCTCTCCAAGCTTGAACAAAAGCAAAAACCCACAAGAACCCCAGTTGGTGCCTCACCAGTAACTTGGAGATATGACATGCCCTATAGTACAGAAAGTAGCATCTCGTGGAATTGTTCGTTTATTTGTTTATAGCGTCTATGAAAAAAGCGTTCGTTAAGAAGATGCGATTCCAAGCTGCATGAATGAAGCTCGGCAGTCCTGATGATCTATTGAGCATAGAATATAGGTATATATATTGACGTCTCGGCTTCAGGCGTTTTTGAATAACCCGGACGTCAGGCATTCGAGTGAAAAATGACGTGTCTGCCACGGCGCCTGCGGCCACTCTGCAGGTAAGGCACCGCAAGCAGGGTCACGCCCGCCACGTAGAGGCTGACTCCAGCCAACAGAAAGCCCGGCATATATGACTCAAACACGTCATGGATTAGACCGTTAAATGGCGGTCCGACAAGGGCAGCCACTGCAATGCAGAGCAGACTCAAGCCGTACGCGTTAGTGAGGTTGTCGAGTCCGACCAGATCAACGACCACAATCGAGCTGAGCGTGATGAAGCCCCCACCAGCGGCCCCGTACACGGCCGTGTAGACTATCAGGCAGGAGTACGAGGTGCACATGACGCAGAGGACGGTGGACAGGCCGCACGTCACGACGCAGGCCATGTACAGCCAGAGGCAGCCTCGGCCCACGCTGTCTGACGCCACGCCCACCAGCACGCGGCCCAATACGTTGCTCAGGCCGATCAGGGACACCAGGAAGCTTCCCTCTGCCCCGGTGACAGCAAGCAGTTCGACGGCCATGCTAGACAGGAACAGGTAGGGCACGCTGTACCCCAGGCCGCAAAGAAAGCGGGACAAGGCGAAGGCCATGTAGACCCGGTCGCCGAATAGACGGAAGTCGAGCATCTCGTAGAATGCGGCCGTCATCTGGTACGAGAAAAGCATCCTGCAGAGAAAGTTCCGGTTGTCGACGAGGGTGATTACGTGACAGTGGTCCGGGGAGTCAAGCAGACTGCTGTCGGTGGCGAAGACAGACATGACGGGCTGCCGCTGTTCCTCCGGCAGCGAGCCCGCGTAGAACAGGTCCTTGCGGAGCCTCACGTGCGTATGGAAACTCTCGGCTCCTTCGCCCACCCTTTGCAGCTGCACGCCCGCGTCCGTTGAAGGAGTGCGAACGGGCAACTCGTATACGGCCAGGTGCCTCGAAAGCGTCGATGACCGCTCCGCGGGCTTGTACGATGACGAGGGCTCCTGGGATGCGAGGGGCAACGCTGGTTGCACCGGCCGCATCAGGAGGCCCGCCACTACGCCCTGGAGCGAGAGCCCTGAGCACACGATGAGCGTGCCTTTCCAGCCGTACAGGCGGATCAGGAGCTGGACGAGCGGTGCCAGCACGAAGGTGCCCACGCCGGAGCCGCAAACCGTCACGCCCGTGGCCAGCGACCTACGCCTATCGAAGTAAGTGACACTGTTGCGATAGGCCTTGGCGAAGGTCACGTCCTTCCTTCGCCTCCCCTTCTTGTCCACCCGGCGGGGTTCGGCCTTCGCATTTAGGATCGGCGACCGGCCGTCTGAGCCGTTGTTGACAGAACACGTCGCCCGGCGCCGCGTGGACGCCGCCACACCTGGGAGCGGAGCTGAGCCGGACTCTTCTCTCTGGCTGCGGGGGTGAGTCCATCCAGGAACCAGCTGCCCTGCCGAGAGAGGATTCCGGGGGACGACGCCGGCGGCGGGACTTCCGGCCGAGTACGTTCGGCTCAAGTTTTCGTCCGGCGCCACTTGCGGATTATCCCGCTAAACCTTTCCCGAGCCAGGACGCCGCATAATGAGGGGATCATCTCCATCACGGTCAACGTCTCACGAGCTGACAGCGGACCCTTCGTCACCGACTCCTGGCGGGGCTTATTGAGGTCAAGAATGCCCCGGCGCCGGATTGGGAAGCCCGTCCGACGCTGCAGTGTGTGCGTGTATGTGTGTGCGCACTCGAGAGGAGTGGGGGCGGGGCCTGAACGTGACGTCCGTTGGCAGTTCGGCCACCATTGGCTGCCAACCGCTGGAACATAAACAGCGACTGTATAAAAAGAGCAAACGAGAGGCCGCGAGTGTGCTCTCCGACGAACAAGAAACTTCTGTACATATGTATTAAAACAGAGTTTATCGCGAGACACCCTCCCGTCTCCTGATGTCCCTGCCTGGAGTCGGCCTGCGGTTCCTGTCCTCGCCTGGCCCTGCCTGAGGCTGCATGGGGAACTCCTCGGTCGCAACAACACGCACACCACGGCCGGCAGCAGGATGAGGCCGAATCCCGTTCCGGCCACGAGCCCGAAGGAAAAGTACAGGTAGAGGATATTTGGCGCGTAGATGCTAAGGAAGAGGCCAACCGCGGACAGGAGCGAGCCCGTGATGACCGTCGTCCGGCAGCCATACTGGATGGTCAAGCCACTTGCAATCGGGCTGGAGATGAAGTAGGAGCCCATGAGGATGGAGGCGATCCAGGAGGTGAGCGCGTGGCCCTCGCCGAAGTAGCTGAGAAATTCGTCAAAGAAGACCCCGGACGAGTAGATTATGCCGTCGACCACCACGTGGCACACAAAGCCTGCCAGCACCACCATCCAGCCCCAGCCGCCATCCGGGGGTTGTACAGGTTGACCCACGACCAGCGTGCGATAAATCATGCTCGTCGTGTCCATGGCCTCCCTCACCGCTGTTTGCGATGAACTTGAATATCTCGAATGGTTCAGTTCTATTTGAATTCGCAGTCTGTTGCTGCGTGGTTGGTCTAAAGCTGGGCTGACATGAAAAAAACGCCGAGTCGATTCGTTCTCTTCCACTTCTACGCTTCAACGTCGTAGCGAGATTTTAGAAGCGAAGCTTCTAACAATACCGCTTGTCGACAATACCGCTTGTCGACAATACCGCTTGTCGAGAAGCACCGTGTGATAGCAGTGTGACCAGCTGTGCGACGAGAGACGGCGACGATGAGAGATGATGAGCGTCGAGCAGCAGCAGACTAATTGAATCGCACTGATATTTTCGCAGCGGGGAACTACAAGGGCGCGGTTGCCACCGATGATCACATAGCTAATGCCCAGTGGATGGTGATCAGAGCCGTGACGGCCGTCGTGAGTATCGCTGTCAACCGGCTGGGAAGAGACGGCTGGGTCGACGAAACCCCCGACCGAGGCAGCTGAGGCATGTGCGAAAGAAGGCTTTCGTTGCCACCACGACAAGCACACCGACGTCGTGGGGTGCGTTGACTGAACCTAGAATCTAACTGAACCTTCGTCATCATCATCATCGGTCTGAAGGAGACCGTCACCGTTCTGAAGGACTCCAACACTTTGCCGCAAACACTGCTTTGCCATTAACAACTTGGTGGTAAGTTGACGTTAAAACTTCAGGGTTTCTACCGCTTCGAAGTTAATGCGCGCTTAGTACGTATGTCTTCAGTTTACGATGTGTTGCGGTTTGTAGCTACTGTCAATCACGCAATAAAATCTGAATGGGTTGCTGATGGCATTTTAGTGTATCAATTAGATATTACACTTTTCGACGCCCTGCAATGAACTACGAACTGTGTCCGAAAATGAATCGTTAGTTGTTTAGACAGCAGGAGTTTAGTATGACAGAGTATGGTAACATGGTTACCCACCGTAGACGAGAAATTCAGCCAGTGCAACCCTGTGGATAGTTGTCATCTCCGTGACCAAGAAAAACAATAAAGATACAATTGTCCTACATTCAACACACGTGTGTTTAATGTAAAGGTTATGATACCAATTAAATAAATTGTCGTTTCAAAGGTGACAGTAACTCATTAAAATGAAAGAGTAGTGTGAGCTGGATTTTTGAAAATTGCCTGTGTTGCAGAGCAAATACGCACAGTTGACTTATCACCATCAAGCATAAACGACGAGCGGAAGCAGAGTAGATGTGTGAAGGAAAAGCGAGCATATGTACTAAAGACAGAACTGCTACGTAACGTGAAGAATGTCAGCAACTATCTTTCCATTGTGGTACGAGCTCAGTGGCTATGCACATGCTTATGGCAGCCTGTGAATGTAGGATGATTCCCTTATAGTATCATCCAGTGGCGAAGCCAGGGGGGGAGGGAAGGGAGGCGAGCGGCTTATGGGGCTTCGCCCCCCCCCCCCCCTCCCCCCCTCAAATCCGGCGGGCACTAGAATATACACACAAGTTCCCCCCCGCACCCCAAGTCATGAACATTCCAGCCACCTCAACCCCCTTCCCCCTCACCCCCTCAAAAGTTCCTGGCTACGCCACTATCAAAAGCAATCAATAGATAGTCAATATTATCAAGATAAGCGAAATTTTTTTTATTTCATGCACCATATAGGCAGTGTTTTTGTCTTTATATGCATGCAGGCAAAGCACACACTTTAGAAAACACTTGTGTGAAGGCTGCGTTCACAATGCGGTCCCCGTCAAACTTTCAAGGCGTTAACGAATTCCACAAATTAAATTTTCAACGGAGCGCGTTAGTTTCGCAAAACGCTGGCAAACTTACGTTGCATTTTACATCATTCACCTTTGTCGTCTGATGAATCAGCAGTCAGCACTACACAAACCGCAATGAGCTTGTCGTTTGTTTTCTTGCGTTGGGGCGATCGCTGGCGGTCTTGGCGGCGGCCCAATTCTTCCTCAGACTCAGACAGAGCGTTGAAAATTTACTTTTCAACGCTTTGTTGAAAAGTAAATTTTCAACGGAGCGTGCAGAAAGACCCCGGTACGCCGTGGTCTTTCTGCACGAGCGACAACCCTCGATGGAGCTCTGCGTGTGTGGAGCATGAGGCGGCACGAGCCGTCTTTGCCGTCTTTGCCGTGCCCACGGGTCGACGAGTCATCTGCCGGCGCCGCTTGAAACCATAGTGAGAGAGAGAAAAAGAGAGGCTGAAAAAGCGAACTTTATCTGCACTGCTCGAGGAGCGCGCTGTCCTCACCTGAAGAGTATTATCTTACACCGTGGCCGAGGCTCAACTCGCCCCGTCGACAGAAAGGACACAAAAGACAAGACCAATCCCGCTGAACTTAAAAGACAAGAACGTGAAGAGAGAAGGCTTCTCAACGAACAACGACAACAAGACAAACACCCGCTCCCCTCGACGTCGTACAGCCGATGGGGGTGACGTGACTCGATTTTGTATATATCACAATTTAATCGTGGAGACGGCAGTGAGCGTTGTAGTCATTCTAACCCGTGTCTCCTCGTGATGATCATTGTCCCGAGGGCTCGAGGAAGACGTTTTCTTCTTCTTCCGCAGCCACCACAGATACTCCCCTCAGTAGAAACGAAGTTATATGCTAGACACATACATTGCAACTAAATGTTTTGGCACTGGACACTGCCATAAGGAATATGTACAATTATTTACACCGCTAGGAAAATTGTTAAGTGTTAATCCCAATGCATATGCAAGTTGCGTTTCACCGAATGCGATGGTTGTAACCGACTTGCTGGTTTGTTTGTGTTAAAGTATTGTTTGTAGCTGCATTCGTCTGTATAAGCAGGTTTCAGTCTATCAGTTGAGATGGTTTCATGACGGTCGTCCATGTCAATGGTGAAGAACTTCGACTTTCGGTTGAGGACCTTGAACGGACCTTGGTATGGCTGTTCAAGTGGCTTCTTTGTTCTATCGATGCGAACAAAAACATGAGTGCTGGTGTCAAGGTCGGGGCTGATGAAGGAAGGGCGGTACTTAATCTCTCGTGGTGCACATGGGCGAAGTTGTCTGAAATGTTGTCTGAGACGGTGAGCATAGTTTGTAAAATCCTGGGCACACGTGGGCACATCAGGTGACGTGTTGGGAAGAAATTCGCCAGGTAGACGTAGCGTAGTGCCGTAGACAAGCTCAGCAGTAGAGACCACAATGTCCCCTTTGAGCGTGGAACGAATTCCTAGTAGAACAATAGGTAGCGCTTCAGTCCAGGGGATGAAGCTGTGAGCACGCAGTGATGATTTTAGTTGGCGGTGAAATCGTTCAACCATTCCATTTGCGGCGGGATGGTACGCCGTTGTGCGAAGGCGTTTGATGCCAAGGAGTCGCATCAGTTCAGCAAAAAGGTGCGGCTCGAACTGTCGTCCGCGGTCCGTAGTGACTACTGATGGTACTCCGAAACGGGCAATCCACCCTGTGACGAAAGCTTGGGCAACTGTTGCAGCTGTCATGTCGGGAATCGGGACTGCCTCGGGCCACCGTGTAAAACGATCCACACATGTTAAGAGGTATGTGAAGCCGTTAGAATGAGGTAATGGACCGACCAAATCTAGATGAACATGCTCAAAACGTCCCGTAACTGGTGGAAATTTCGCGAATGGCGTTATGGTATGACGATGAACCTTTGATTTTTTGACAAGTTGTACATGATCTTGACCACGTTCGGATATCTGTATTCATCTTTGGCCAGACAAAACGGGTGCTGATAAGTTTCTGCGTAGCTCGTATTCCGGGATGGGACAGTCCGTGTAGGGCATCGAAGATTTTCTTGCGGAATGCGGGTGGAATATAGGATCGTGCTGTTCCCGTTGAAAAATCACACAAGAGCGAAATATCTGTGTACGGTATGTTTGTTTTCTTTAGGTGCAGAGATGTACCTTGGTACCCAGTGTCCTGGAGCTGGTGTTTTGCAATAGCCGGAAAATCAATCTGTTCGACGCCCGGTAGCTTCGAAGCAGCAATATCCACTCGTGATAACGCATCAGCAACCACGTTGTGCTTTCCTTTGATGTGCCGGATGTCGGTCGTGAATTCACTGATGAATGCCAACTGCCTTTGTTCTCTAGGTGTATAAGCATTGCCGTTCGATGTTATGGCAAATGTCAGTGGCTTGTGATCCGTGAGGATAAAAAATGTGCGACCTTCAACAAAATAACGGAAATGTTTGACGCTGAGGTAAGTGGCAAGAAGTTCACGCCCAAATGCGCTGTAGCGGGTTTCTGTCGCAGTTAATTTTTTTGAGAAGAAAGCGAGAGGTTTCCATTGTCCACTCATGTATTGTTGTAGTACTGCTCCGACGGCTGTACCAGAAGCATCTACCATAATATTGGTCGGTGCTACAGGCTTAGGGTACACTAGCAAGGTGGCGTTGGCAATCGCAGTCTTAATGGTGCTGGATGCGACTGAGGCTGAATCAGACCACGTGAATGGAGGTTTGGAATCTCTTGGGCCGACCAATAGATCATTCAGCGGTTGGACGATTTCCGCGCAACCGGGAATAAAGCGGCGGTAAAATTTTACCAGTCCCAGAAACTCTCTCAGCTGCCGTATCTGGACGGTGTTGGATAGTCGCGAATAGCTTTCACCTTGTTGTCGAGTGGTCGAAGCCCCTGATTGTCAACATGGTGGCCTAAAAACTCTAGAGTTGGTACCCCGAATTCACATTTTGCGATATTAATAACGACGCCATGTTCATCTAAACGTTTGAATAGTTGATATAGGTGTCGTTCGTGTTCTTCGTTGGATGTGCTGCCCACTAGATTATCATCCAGATAAGCGAAGCAGAAGTCGAGTCCTCTGAGAACTTGGTCAATAAACCGTTGGAAGGTCTGGGCAGCATTACGTAACCCAAACGGCATCCGAACGAATTCGAAGAGGCCAAATGGAGTTACAATTGCTGTTTTTGGAATATCGTCAGGTGCGATGGGTACTTGATGGTATGCTCTGACAAGATC